TGTTTGTGAGTGTGTATATACAAGTTATGTTCAGAAAATTCTAATAATACAAAAGTTATATATATATATATATATATATATATATATATATATATATATATATATATATATATATATATATACATATATATATATATATATATATATATATATATATATATATATATATATATATATATATATATATATATATATATATATATATATATTAGGGTGTGTCGATTTTCAATTTTTTTGAAAATTTGATGATGGCTAGTATTTTTTTTTTTGTAAATCAGTATGAAAAACATAAAAATAATTTTTTTTTGAAAAAAAAAATATTTTAAGCTACTTTTTTTTACCTTCAAACTATTATTTTTTTGGACTTTGCCGTAATCTCCGAAGAAGATCGCACTCATTTACCAAACCATATAGCAAACTAAAATTTAACTTGCAAAATTTTGCCAGTTAAATTTGTCAGCAAAATTGTCCATTTCAAAATTTAGTTTAACAAACAACGTGTAAACAACAATTATATTTTAAATATACGCTCTCCTTTTCGCAATGTTTATATTTTTTTGGATAAATAAGGAACTACGTTTATCATTAACTGTGTGCTTTATATATATATACATATATATATATATATATATATATATATATATACATATATATATATATATATATATATATATATATATATATATATATATATATATATATATATATATATATATATATATATATATATATATATATATATATATATATACATACATATATATATATATATATATATATATATATATATATAAACATATATATATATATATATATATATATATATATATATATATATATATATATATATATATATATATATATATATATATATATATATATATATATATATATATATATATATATATATATATATACATATATATATATATATTATATAATGTGTATATATATATATATATATATACATATGTATATACACAGATTTGTAATACCAAAACTAAATATACATCAGATCATTACTTTAGTTGGAAAGAGTTTGGAGTAAAATGTAAAACTTTAAACTTTTTGAACACTCATGTTTATATTTACTTCATAAAACAAGTCCAAGTCATAGTTATCTAACTAAGCACAATTAAATACTATTTGCAACTAATTCTTTTCAATGAGGTTTACCATATCTTTTTTACTAGAATTATTTGACATAAGTTCTCTGCTAGCTATTTGACCTTGAATGTAAGTATTTCTTCTGGCCTGACCAAAGACATGACAAGCACTTTCAGTTGTCATTTTTACACATCTTTCAACAGATTGTGTATGAGAGGGCCACTTTTTTACATTCATTGGAGTGTTAATAAATTCCTTCACTGCTTCAGTTGATAGATTACATGTTAAAGGTGGTTCAGTAATATCACTCCAGTCTATAAGTTCAGACAAACAAGTTGCTTTCATAATGATGGAAGGAGTCTTTCGAATCCTAAAAGATCTATCTATAAATTGAAGTGCATCATTCCCAGCTCCTCTTAATTCAACTATTTTATTAACTGCTTCTTTTCTCTCATCTTCAATTTGACTACAGAGCATACTTTGCAAAACTGATTCAGGGTGAGCATACCATGCTGATCGTTTGAAAGTGGGTAAAACAATGTCATTTACCTCCTGAGTTTGATTTTTTAATAATTGCATCTGTTTAAGTAAGTTTATTGGTCCTTCCACCCAGCATGAATTTACTTTGATGTTAAACCAGTTAGGAACATACACACCTACTATGTACTCAACAATCATTCTCAACCTATTTAAAAGGTCACCTGTTAATCCATGTTTTGACACCCAGATTCTGCAAAATCTTAAAGCAGTAGTTAGCCATCTACTATGACAAACAGGACCAATTTCTAGTAATGCCAGTCTCTTAGGCAGAACTCCAGTTTTAAGAGATGTCACAATTTGGTATGCATAGCTCTGATCGGTGCTTAGATCTTTGATAATGTCAGGACTGAGGTAGATAAGTGGAGAGCCTTCACACACTTTTGAAAATTCTGGGTTAATTTCAAGGTTGGTAGCATCGTTACCAACATCTTACCCAGAGGTCCTGACCAATGATTGCTGGCTTTAGTAGGACCATCAAGAAACTTAATAAGACTTCTTAACCCTAGTTCCCCAGTGTGCAGGTCACATACAATCCATACAAGTTTTTTATTAAGTTTTTTTTCAACCCATTGTATTACTCCTCCTGCCCATCCAGTATTTACATTAGTACTATCACAACCTATGGCTTCCAATGTCAAATGTAAACATCTTTCTTTAAGCCATTCAATTAAATGATCAGCTATTATCTCAGCAGGTCTTTTAAAATCAGATTCTTCAGGAACAAAATGGAATAGATAATTTCCACCAGGTTCACTGCACACAGTATAATGTTCTTCTTTTATTAGACCTGGGAATTTTCTGCCTTCAACATCAAAAAAAATTTTAGTGTCATCTTTTCTACCATCAAAAAAAATACAACTCAAACCATTATTGTTTAGTTCCTTATGAAATTTTGAGGTCAGTTCTTTTCCAATTTTTTCTTGAGCTCGTTTAACTTTGTTATGGTCGATAATTAAGCAAGTGTTTCCTTCAGTGATAATTTTAGCATCAATAAGGGCAGCAGTTGCTATTTCCGCAGTTTCTCTTAAACCTGTATGATGCCTTAAGCTTGCTAATGCTATATTTTATATTTTCATGGTGTTATACAATTGATTTTTTTCTTTTACTTTTTTTGAAATATTCATTTTTATTTTATCATTTGTCTCTTCACAGACTTCATCTGAGTCACTCTCGGGAAAGAAAAAATCATTTTCTTGATTTACAATCTCCTGGTCTAGTTTTGATTTTTTTGTTTGTGAAACCTGATTTTGTATTGTATGTCGTTTAATTTTTTTACTTTGTTTCTGAGTTTCAATACGATCAATGCCAGCTATTTGAAGGATAGCTTTGGTTCCAACTTTTTCTCTTTGATGTCTTACAAAGTTCAACTCAAGAAGAGGAATTTTTTGTTCTTTTTTACAAGTACATACAATGTGAGCTTTTCTGTCACAATATTCTCCACACTTATTTTCTAAGCAAAAAAATATTTTACAATTGCATGTAAACAAATCAAAAAGTTTATCAAGTTTTTCCATAAATTTATTTCTAATTGGTGTGGTAAACTAACTTTAACAGCCAATAACCACAAGTCTTTTACTTTACTTTTAATTCTTCTTTCAGAATTAATAACTGGACTTACAAATTGAGAATTGGCTTTTTTCCACTGTAACAAAATTTTTGAAAGAATATTCTTTACAAGCTGATCAACAGTATAGTTTCTGTAATCTTTTTCACTAATCTCTCTTAAATATAAGCCATATTTGAGAATATCTCTGGACGTTGGGAGTTCTGATGGAAGAAACTCTGAACTTTTTCCAATTAAGTTACTAAGCTGACAAGCTGATTTACTTCTTGTTTTAGTGGTATATGACATCTTTATATCAATTTAAAAAAAAAAGGATTCCAAAAATTGTTTATGCTCTTTATTTTATTTTACTTCAACGACTAATATAAGAATAAGTCAGATGCGTATTACTAATATAGTATATATATATATATATATATATATATATATATATATATATATATATATATATATATATATATATATATATATATATATATATATTATATATATATATATAAATATATATATATATATATATATATATATATATATATATATATATATATATATATATATATATATATATATATATATATATATATATATATACATCCATGCATACATTTATATAGATAAGGTTTTTGAAAGGCATTAAAATTTAATAACAAAGCATTATAAATTGTAGATTTTTCAACTTGTAAAACAAACGGTTAATAATAAAAATTTTTATTACATCCAAAAAAGTGTAAACACTGCAAAAAGGAGAGTGTATTTTTAAAATATAATTGTTGTTTACACGTTGTTTATTAAACTAAATTTTGAAATGGAGTATTTTTCCGACAGAGTTAAATTTTAGTTTGCTATATGGTTTGGTAAATATGCGATCTTCTTCGGAGATTACGGCAAACTTCAGTTTTTAGAATAAAAAACTAAGTCCAAAAAAATAAAAGTTTGAGGGTGATAAAAAGTAGCTTAAAATACTTTTTTTTTCAAAAAAAAATTATTTTCATGTTTTGCATAAGGATTTACAAAAAAAAAATACTAGCCTTCATCAAATTTTGAAAAAAAGTGAAAATCGACACACCCTAATATATATATATATCTACTATAGCATATTTATATGCGCAATTGCTCACTTTTTTTGCTAGCCTAAATTAAGTGAGCATTTTTAGAAAACGATGAGGGAAAACGAAGAATAATGAATGAAAATGTTGCTGACCCATACCAAACCCTCAGTCGATGTAGCAGCACTCCACGGCGAGTCAGGCTATTTGTCAGTCGATGTATGTACTGAAGTCAGCATATAACTATTTTTAAATATATTTTGATGTAAAAATATATTAAGGATATTTCGCTGACCCATTGTGGTTAGCGTCATCAGGTAATTACCTGATTACCTGATGATGCTGACCAAAATAGGTCAGCAAAATATCCTTAATATATTTTTACATTAAAATATATTTAAAAATTGTTATATGCTGCCTTTTTATTAAAATCAATTTACATATTAAATTTATATATATCTTATAACAAAAAATGACTTTTAAAATACATATATATATATATATATATATATATATATATATATATATATATATATATATATATATATATATATATATATATATATATATATATATTAAAATAATTTAAATGAAAAAAATACAACTTTATATATATATATATATATATATATATATATATATATATATATATATTATATATATATATATATATATTTAACTTGTAATAATATTTATTTTAAGTAAGTAGAAATTTCAATAATATAAAGTATTTATAATTTTAGGAACTTCTGGATCTTACTTTGAGTATGTTAAAAAATGCCTCTCCAAATGAAATTGATGAAGAAGAAGAAACTATTTCAAATATGGAAATGCGCTGCAAAGAAATGGGATATGCTATTGAAAAGAAGATTATTGAATGTCAAAGAAAGAAGGATGACCTTAATGACTTAAATAGTAAATTTTTGCAAGCCATTTCTATTTACCAACAGCTAATGAAAGAACCGATGGTTACTGCACAACCATCATATCAAATGCAGCAATCTTATTCTGAGGTATTTTTGTTATGTTAGATATATTAATGTAAATAATTGCCACATAATAATTATATATATATATGTGTGTGTGTATATATGTGTATATATATATATATATATATATATATATATATATATATATATATATACGCACACACACATACATACATACATACATACATACATACATACATACATACATACATACATACATACATACATACATACATACATACATACATATATATATATATATATAGAGAGAGAGAGAGAGAGAGAGAGAGAGAGAGAGAAAAAAAGAGAAAAAGAGAAAGAGAGAGAGTTTATTTTCAAAATGCAGTAAGCACCATTTTTAAAAAAATGTAGAAATTGTGTGGTTTATTTTTATTTTATAAGTACCTAATTGTCATTGTGTCCAAATATATGCTAAGCGAAGTATAACCATATATTTTTCTACTTCTAAAAAACATTTTCAAAACAGGGTTTGGAATTTTTAACTTATTTTCAAAGTGTGGTATTTAATTGTGACCAATCCATGGCAAATGTATATTCTGCGCAAGGGCAAACCTTGTAAAGTTGTATTAATGAAATGGCGGATTGCAATAAGAAAGATTAACGCGTTATCTAATCTCCTATTTCACATTAAAAAAAAAGATTAAATACTTAAAACAAGAAGAAAAAAAAATTGTTTCTTCATTTGTTTATACTTTCATACTTTGTTTAACGGAACTGATATTGGAATGATGATAGAAAATGTATTAAAAAGACAACTTATGTTAATGAGTTTAAATATATTTGTTATCTGTTTCTTTTTATAGAAAGCATTCAATAATAATACTTATTTTTTATTTGTTTATTAAACCAACAATTCCTGTATTGCAAAGAAAATGAGGCATTTTTAAAGTTTTATTTCATTAAAAATATAAAGATGATGTTTATGTTAATTGTCCATTAATTCTAAACAGATTTAAAAATAGAGGTGGAAATAAAAAATTATTGGCCTACAAAGATAATGGAGATGTTTTAAAAAAAATTTGATGCATTTTTTAATGCATCTATTCTTTGTTTATTTTTTATCCCTATTATGGACAAAGCAAAAAATAAGCAGTGTTTATGCTTCTTTCCTTGAAAAAACAATATTTTAAAAATCTGATTATCATTACAACTACACTATTTCTATTTTTTAAACTTTAAAATTAAATATCATCACATTAAACTTTAAAATTAGATATATCACTATTATCACAACTACATTATCACTATTTTTTAAACTTTAAAATTAAATATAAAATAAAAAAGTATTATGATTTATTGCCTCATATTTAACTCTTCGAAATAAATTTAAATTAACAATCGTGAATTTTGAAACATAATAGTTTTTCAATGTTGAAAAAGTGTTCTTTAACAAGTTAACATCTTAATTATATTATTTAACATCTTGATTATGTGACAGGCTTTAGTAGTTTCATGTACTTCTGTGTCATTTAGTGGCAGATCAATATGCTTGTTGGCTGTATTAAAAGAAAAATTGCAACTTCTACCCATTTAATTTATTTAATACCCACTCCATGACTCTTTATTTTCTTTAATTTATGAACTTTTAGTTTATCAACTTTTTTAATTTATAAATATTATAATAGCAATGCACCTTATACACCTATCAAAGATTTTTTTTTATTAATAATTCTCAAAACTAGTGCTTAAACTTAGTGCTAAACATTTTTTTTTTGTTTTAAAATAAAGTTTTTTAAAATTTTATATTTAAAAAAAATATTTGCTTGAATTTTTTATTATTTTAAAGATTACTAAATTTCTAGATGATTGACAACAATATTTGGAAATTAATAAAAATGATATTGATATATTTTGGTATATAAAAAAAAGATATATTTGATAAAATTAATCTTTATACTTAGGTTTATATTGATTTTTTAATTTTATTTAATCACCCTTTTGGTTATATTTTAAGGCCATGGTGGCCACAGCTCCTCTAAAAAGTGAAGATCAAATCTCCTCTTCAACTCCTCCTTTTAATTTTTATTTATTTCTTGATAGTAGTATAATGTTCAAAATACCATTCCTGGTCTGCAAAACTGGTTAACCCCTAGAAGGTCATTGGGTTGTAAAAAATGCTTTAGCAAATCCATATCGTTCAACATAAAAATGGCATTATTGACCCTGTCCAAAGCCCACAAATGCAGAAACCCTCCAGGCTACCCTGTATATTGCAAAACTGATTATTAATCAGTAATACAAAGTTTTAAGTTTAAAATTTTTAAGTAAACTGATTAAATAATAAGGAATAGACTCATTTGGATCCACAGGTAAATGTTTTATATAATACGTATTTTTTATTAAATCATAATCATTTTTAATAACACATAAACAATAATATGTAATCATTTCCAATCATGGTCAAATTAAAATCTTTATTTGATTTTCTGATAATCAGAGGGCAGTATATCCACTCATCTCCACTCTTTGTATTTTTGGTTATTTATATATTAAACTTTTACGCAATAATTAACTTTTTTTCTATTTAATTGCTTCCTAAGGTACTTTTTACTTAAAATAATTAAAGAACATGTTGCATAAGTATTGCCGGATTTTGATTGAGCCTTACCTACTCATTTACCGTTACTTTTAATAAATTTGGCAATTGTTAAAAATGACATTCTGTTCGAAACAGTCTGTCCGCTGGTAGTAATAGATAAAACTTTAATTGCTAATATTTTTGACTTTAAAAACACAACCTTTTTTTGATATAAATCAGTTGAACGAGATCTTGACCCTTTTTGTTAAAGCACCCTTTACTTTTGTACTTTGTGCTTTGCTATTAAAACGCATAACATTACTTTTTACGATAAATAGATGGAAAAAAAAGCAAAAATTAAAAGACTTCTATCAAAAAGTTATATTATTGCTATTTTTTGGCACTTACTTTAAGTTTAATTTTTGGTGTTATTATATCGTGATCATGTGCAAGATGATAGTATAATATACTCTTTAATAACTTACTTGTACTTCTTAGATCTGTTGCGGCTACAGAGCATATGGTTGCATAACCATATGATGTTTATCTCTCAATTGAATAATATTCATAATTAGTTTTTGTTGTTTTTTCAATCAACTGTGTATCATTTTCAATTGCCTTACTGAATAAAAGAAATTGAATTTATTTTGCTATTGATATCAGTTAAATAGTTTAGTTCGTCTATAGTCTTTCTTTTGACCTTTACTTTAAATTAATTATTCGAATGACATGTTTACTTTATTATACATTTGAAGTATGTACTATTAACACAGCGCTTATTAGTAAAACAATTCTTTCCGCATGCTGGATTATTTCAAAAAAATTTCATCGGAAATATTTTTCATTTTGACATATTGACATAAAAAAGATTAAAAAAAGTAATCTTTTTATTTGAATACTTTCGAAATGTATCTATGCGTAGTAGTAACGGCGCGTTTAAAAAATTTTTTAGTCTCTAATTTTTTGTGTGTGTATATCCATCATTTATAATGATATCTAGTTTTTATTGATTTTTTTTTTTTTTTTGTTAGGCACCCTATCAACAATTTGTTGCTCCCCAGATGGCATCGGTTTCAAATAAAGTGTTTCCAGCACAACTTAAATCGGTAAGATTTATATTTGAACAACTCTCCCGAGAATTGTTATTTTTAGTTTGTTGTTACTTCATTATTTACAAACCAGTAAACACAAAATGTTTGTTACACGTCTAGAAGCCGCGTAATATCTTTTATGTTTAAAACACGTGTTGTGTTTACTAGAATACTACGAATACGCTATTTTAACTTTATTTTGCGTTGTTAGGATAATTTTTCTTCTCAATCGGAAGTAGAACGTCAACAGCAAGCTCTCTATACTCAACAGCAACGGCAACAACAGCAATTAATTCAACAACAATACCAAGAACGAACTTTATCAAACATACCACAGCAATATCAAGCGCATGTCTATGATACCTCCCAAATATCTTATGTACAAACACCTACGGTTTATTACGATTCCATAAACTATCAACAACCTTCAAATGGGTATGCCACTTATGATGGCAGTTATCCAGTAACTAGTTACAATCAAACTCCAGTTTATCATTAAAGACTAGTGTTAATGAGTCTCGTTATTTTCTTTAATTTCGAGTAATTCATCTCTTCAATTGGTTTTGATAATGTTTCAAACAAGCTGAAACTTATTAAAATGTTGTGTGTGTTTATTTCGTTATGTATATAATTTCAATTAATGTTATAATTAATATAATATGGTATAATTCTAATAGAAACTTCTCGGAAATTATCCTTGTTAATAGAGTCTTGTATAAACATTAGAATAATATGTAAACTCTTTGTTATCGATTTCATTCTAATGATAAAGAATTCATGTAATTGGAGGTTTTTTATAGTTAATTTTGTTATATAAGTGTTTTAAATATAAAAAAGTATAAAACTTATTGATATTTAAAAGAAGAATACTCGTTTTTAAATATCAATATATGTGTATGTGTATATTGAACAAGCGTACTCTAGTTTATCAAACAGTTTTGTTTCAAATAGAAACTTTAGATTATAGCGCTATTTATATGGTCTTTTGTAACTTTAGATTTTTGTGAGAAGGCCTTAGGTTTATGTCAGAAGTAAATGGGCAATTCCATTTTTAACTTACGTTACACACGCAACAACTTTATCAAATATTTGCCTATTTAAACTGTAAGTTAAACTTTTAGATATGTTGTATGAAAGCTGTTAGTCTAAAGAATAAAATAAGCTAAAAAGTTTTGAGTCTGGCCGAAAGAGGGTGAACTTATTACTGAAAATGCCACTTAACTTAGGTTACTATATGTTACGTTACTATACGTTACGATACTATATATATCTAACTTACGTTACCTTAAAGGATTTTTTACTTCTATTATTTCGAGTTAGAGTTACGTAACAAAACAATTGCCGAAGTATTGAACTAGTTCATTAAAAAATAATTAACAAAAAAAACTGGTGAGTGATTTTTCATAACATTTATTTGATTTATTTATAAAACCTGAGTGATTTTTCAAAACATTTAAAAAAGTTATCAAATCGAAAATTACTTTCTTGGTCCGCAAAACCAAGAGCATTTTTGAAAAATTATTTTAGTATTACAACTTTTTAACATTTAAGTCGTTTGCAGGGGCGGATTTAGCATTTTAATTGGGTGATGCAAATTTTTTTATCGACGTCCCCCCCCCCCCTCCTCCTCCCTCCCCCTTCCTCCTCCGCAACCTCTCTAGGGTTTAAGTATAGTCAATATAAAAAGTGGAGAAAAATTAAAAGACGTAGCAAGGGTGGGGCGGACACGCCCCAGGCAGCTTTTTAAGAGTGGCGCCGCTGTTTATATCATTCAATAATAACTAAGTTTTGTATTGCTTTTGCAGTATCTATTTTTAAGAAGAATATGACACACTAAAATATGTATTTTTCAGGAAACTTTCAAATCATAGTCAAAAATATCTTTTGCATATAATTGGAGACTAAAAAAAGAACATTTGAAGTCTTCAATTTTAGAAGAAATATGTGCACCAATTTCTAAACCGAGCACTGCTGATTTAACTAATGAAAACTTATGTAAACAATTAATGATTGATAAAATATCAATCGTTGCAGTTACTGCAAAACATCTAACATTATAAATTAATTAGCATAAATTAATTAGCATTGTTTCCATCTAAACCTACTCCATGGTATCCTCTCATTAATATGTAATGTGTTTTTAACCAATTTTGAAAAGGTGGCCAAACATATAAAAGCATGGTACAAAGTTTATCCATAACTCCCATCATAATGTGGAGCTCAGGAGGAGGAACAATGTGTTCAAGAATTGTTTCTTGGTCTTTTTTTAAGTATATTAAACGAGGATTTATAACATTTTTGTATTCCTGCATATTTAATTTTTTTTTTTTCCTTCACATAAATATTGATCATAACATAAGTCTATGGAACCCAATGTTCTTAGTTTCCCTACTTCGAGGGAGCATTCTCCTTCACAATAAAGACAAGAATATTTGCCAGAATGACTTAAAAGTCATTCAGACAAATATGCTTGTTTATAAATATAAAACCAAAAACACTGTTTGCACATTTTAAATCAAATACTAAACTAAAACTTACTTGTTCGAGTTTCAAAGGTTCCAATGATTTTTAGAAATTGCCATTATCCTCTGAAAATCTCTACAATGGCAAGGATAAAACAACGTTTCACACCAAAATCTTCATACATTTCGGATGAAGAATAATAATTTTTTGGATCAAAAACATTAATAATAACTTTAAGAAAGTTTTGATCACCATCTACAGATATTATATTACTATTGCATTAAGGGTATCAATACCTCTTTCATTAATTATAAATTTGATAAATTCAGTTGTATTCTTGACATAAACTATATCTCTAACAACTATTTCATCGCTGTCAAGGAATTCATTAGTTTTACATTCATATAAAGTTTCTAGAGCATCCTGTAATTCAGTAATTTTAATATAAATGTTTGATTCTACACCAGTTAGATTACAGCGTAAAGTAGAACACAGTCTTTTAGTTTTGTTCTTAGAGAGTTGTAATACGTTCGATAGCTCCATAATAGTTTAGAATGAAACTTGATTTACTTTCTTTCTTTTCGACTTATTTTCGTTTACTCCAACTGTAACAGAAAGAAGATTTTCACCAGTAGACAACATGAACTGCTCTCCACTTACATGTTTTCACATTCCATTTTACGTTTTAATAATCCAGAAGCTACTTGCTCTGCACCTTTATATCCAAGAGATTCACTAATATCAATTGCATTGTTAACAGCTTTACTTTTGCAACAATCATGAGAAATTCCTCTACCTAAAAGTAATAGTAAGAAATTAAAAACTATTTTAACATTAGCTTAAAATTACATAAAAACAACAATACATTGAATCAAACTTTAATGTAACATAAAGAGAATCAAACTTCAATAAATCTTGTTTAAATTATAAAATTATAGTATTAACATACCAAGATTCAAATAGTCCACAGATTTTCTCATTCACATTTGAAAAGTTCAATTCTGGCTCAACATTTGTCTGAATACATTGCAGTGAAGAGGTTCTCCTAACAGTATTTTTATTTATCTAAAATACAAAAGTGCTTTATAAATAAAATCAGTGCTAATATATTTATGCATTAAAATTACATGATTTTTATTTTCTATATATATATATATATATATATATATATATATATATATATATATATATATATATATATATATATATATATATATATATATATATATATATATATAAATATATATATATATGCATACATACATACATACATACATACATACATACATACATACATACATACATCATACATACATAGATACATACATACATTTATACATACATGCATGTATACATATATATATATACATATATATATATATATATATATATATATATATATATATATATATATATATATGCATATATATATGCATACATACATGACTCCGTATAAGTCCTTTATTCGCTGTATTTAAAAGTTCCATCAGAAGCCTGACAGATGCTTTTGCTAAAATTCCCATACTAGAGTGGTATTTTTTAACGGTTGTACCGATTTGTTTTTTGAATTGGAGATGTTGATCTATAGTGACTCCTAATAGCTTAACATAAGTTACTGGTTGAACCTCAATATTTTCAATTTTAATATGTAAGTTATCAGGAAATTTTTTTCTCGGTGATTTGAACACTATCACTTGCGTTTTACTGAGGTTAATAGTGAAACCATAATCAACGCAGAACTTATTTGTATCTCCATACGCTTTGATTAATTTTTCAGTGACAAATTGTAATGAGCTGTCTGCAGCTGATAGGGTAATGTTGTCTGCAAATAAATAAGACTCAGTTGTTAATGATTGTGGATGATCTCTTGCGTAGATTTTGAATAGTTCATGGCTAAGGCCACCACCTTGAGGTACGCCTCTTGTTATCGGCTTCCAATCTGACGCCATGTTGAAAAGTGATAGTTATATCTGGAAAGAAGCCGTAATTCAATGATATCATTGCCGTAAATAGCCTATTTTCACTACCATAATGGCTGACTTTAATTACACTTACAAAAAAAAAAAAGAAATTATAAGTTTTAACTTTGAAAATATACATACTTCGCACTTAGTTCAGATTTTTCTTTTTAACTTAAATTGTGTTTACTAATCGTGACGTTAGAATTATTTCATGTTTTTGCAAACTGAGAAAATCGAAGCAAAGTTTGAGTTTGTTTGCTGCTAAATTAAAAATATTATTTGGAAATTAAAGTTTTTCTTTAGATTTAATATTGTTCCGTTGTTTATTTTTAATTAAAAAAAAATTATTAAAATAATGCTAAGGCCCTTATTTTTTTCTAACATCTAAAAATGAAAATTTTTATTATTATTTTGGGGCTCTATTATATATTTTGGGTGGGCCTCCAACCCATTAGCTACTTCAATGTTCTTACAAGTTCTGAACAAGACTAAGATGTCTAATTTAAAACAGCTCTGAACAAGACTAAGATGTCTAATTTAAAACAGCTCTGAACAAGACTAAGATGTCTAATTTAAAACAGAACACTTCGCTACATATTAAAAAAAGGGTAATATATATATATATATATATATATATATATATATATATATATATATATATATATATATATATATATATATATATATATATATATATATATATATATATATATATATATATATATAGAGAGAGAGAGAGAGAGAGAGAGAGAGAGAGAGAGGGAGAGAGAGAGAGTATAGGAAAAGGATGAAAAATATTTATTAAAGAATAGCTTTTTTAAAGTTTTCCATCAATTATTTGAGATCTAATAACAAGCAACATACAAGATAAAATTAATTTTATTTTTCTTATACCTGTGATTCCATTACAACTATTTATTAAAAACTATTATAAATAACAAGTTTGATAAGGAATTTTATCAAGATTTCTTATCTGAAAATTATCTGAAAACAAGGTTTTAAAAAAATAATATAAACTTTATGTTTTATGTATTAAAAAATAATACAAACTTTATGTTTTGTATATTAATACTAAATAAATAACAGAGAAAGTCTTATATAAAAAATTCACTTTATTAATGCTTTGTAAAACGCAATATCAACAGCAGGCATGTATGAATACACGGAAATAATATCATTGGCTTTTTCAGCAGATAAAGGCTGATGAGGAACACGTAAGCAAGCTGCCATTGGTATATTTGTCTTTAATGGTTTGACAATAATGCTTGATATTGCTCGCTTAATAGACTTATTAACATGTGCTTGTGAATAATTATTTGAAAACGAGGTTTTAAAAAAAAACATAAAACATTTTCAATA